ATCCCCAGGCCTTTTTAAGACAATGTCTCGCTAAGTTGGCAAGATTCACCTCAAACTGTGATCTCGGCCTCCCAAGTCACTGAGATTACAGGTTGTGCGCCATCACACTCCAGCTTTTTTTTTTTTTTTTTGGGCCACTCTTCTGAATAACATCTGAAGGAGTTTGGTTTTCTTGCTGCCTTACTGACAACTAAGACCCTGCACCTTAGATATAACATTCCCCTTAGGAATAGCACATGGCTTCAGGCCCAGTGGTGTGCACCCATAATCCCAGAGATTAAGGAAGCTGAGGCAGGAGGATTGCAAATTCAAGGCCAACTTCAATTTAGCAAAACCCTATCTCAAAAATAGAAAGAGCTGGAGATGTAGCTCAGTGGTAGAGAATCCCTGGGTTCAATCCCCAGAACCATATGCATACACAAAATAAAAAATAGCATACAGAGTGCCTAGAATGTGAAAGGCTAATGCCACCAAAAAAAAAAAACAAAAAAAAAACAAAACAAGCTGTGCTCTCATACAAAAGATTTAGTTATTTAAAAAGGAATGTATACTACCACTTGTGGCTTTTTTTTGGTAGTGAGGGAATTGAATGACAGGGTTTCTCATATGTTAAATGTACCTTCTAGTTCTGATTTCAACCCCAAACCCATTTGTTTTTAAAAATGGGTGAGAGATACAGACAAACACATGGAATATATACTTACATAAGCTTTGAATATATCCGTAAAGACACAGAAGCTGGTGACACTGGCTGTCTCCCAATGTTAGGGGAGCTGGGTGGCTGGGGACCAGGGAGGCTGTTTACTGAATATCCTTTCAGGACCTTTGAATTTCACACCATGTGCTTAAATATGCTAAAGAGAGAAATTTAACCCACCATCAATTACCTTTTCTGGATCAATCTTGTCATAGAGTTTCAGGACATACAAAACACGGTCCTTGATTCCCTCTAACGTCAAAGGGGGTGCATCACTATACTGGCGGCACAATTGTGTAACTCTCCCTGGAACCTAGAGCAAAGGCAGGAAGGAAACACGGCCATGAACCCAAAATGCCTCTAAATAAATGCACAAGTAAGTCTACAGGTATCTTTCACAAGGCTTTTGGGACCATACAGAACCCACATCATCTGATTCTAATTGTGGCCATGGTACCAAGTCACAATACTAGAAGTCTCAGAAACCCTAGCAGTAAGCAGCATCAAAATGGGCCTGGGGAGGAGGTGGTTGGTGGGGGCTGGGGTTGTGGCTCAGMGGTAGAGCGCTTGTCTAGCACGTGCAAAGAGCTGGGTTTAAGCCTCAGCACCACATAAAAATAAATAAATAAAAGGTATTAAAAAAAAAAAAAGGCTAGGGATGTGGCTCAATGCTTAAGTGCCCCTGGGTTCAATCTGTGGTACAAAAAAAATAAAATAAAAGGAAAAAAAAATGGGCATATTTCCCCTCAAAGCCAGGCCTAGCCTCTCTGCCTCCTGGGCTCAGTGCTCAGGTTCTAGACGTTCATCACTGTTCAGTGAGACTCACTACCACTAAAATCGTCTAGGGCCTGCAGACACAGCAGCCTGTTTCCCCATGGCCTCACCAACATCCCAGGGCCTCTACAAGGCACTGCAGCTTTAGTAGCCAGGTGTGAATCAAAATAACCCAAGACAGACCTGTCATGGTACACTCAAGACAGTCCCTGTGAACCTACTGAGAAACAGGAAAAAATTTARGAAAAAAATGATATGAAGAGGAATTAATGCTGAAGAAAGGGGGAAAGAGAAGAGTGAGGCCACCAAGTGCCCAGGGCCCAGAAGTAAAGCAAGCAGCTGGTAGGTGCTGTCCGTACACAGCTACCCATGTGACCCACTGGGTGTCAGCATCAACCAAGCATCACTAGGAAGTGCTTACAGAGGCCAGTTTGGTGCCATGGGATTAAATTAAATTTAGCTGTTTGGGGTTGGGGATATAGCTCRGTTGGTAGAGTGCTTGTCTTGCATGCACAAGGCCCTGGGTTCAATCCCCAGCACCACTAGTAATAATAACAACAACAACAATAATAATAAATTTAGCTGTTTGGACTCTGGAAAGTTACTTAGCCTTTGTGTTTCTCAGTTTCTTTACCTGTAAGATGGGGATAAACAACAGTACCATGCTCACAGGACTGCTGGGAGGCATCAGTGAGGTGAAAGAAAGGGCTCTGACCTCTGCCTGGCGTGTGCAACTCAGTAGGAACAACTTAGGGTTATCTAGAAGGATCTTGAGGACAACCTGCCACTGTGATGCCTTCGCTGTGGTGATGCCCCAAAATACTAGATGCTGTTTTTTCCCTTTCAGTCTCTTTACTGATCTTTTTTTCTTTGGGGGACTGGGGATTGAACCCAGGAGCACTTTACCACTAGCTACATCCCCAGCCCATTTTCTTTTTCCAGACAGGGTCTCAGTAGGTTGCTGAGGATGGCCTTGAACTTGCATCCTCCTGCCTGGGACTCATGAGTGGCTGGGATTACAGGCATGCACCACTGTGGCCTGGATTCTTTATTGATTTCCTATCGTTAAATCAGGCTATGGTGCCGTCCTGAGTATTTGACACACAAGATCTCTTTGAGCTCTGACAGTAACCTTATGAGATACTTGGTACTATCACTCCCCATTACAGTTGAGGAAGCTGAGGCAGAGAATGGCTATAATCTTGCCTCAAGTCCAGCCACATAACTTCTTGGAGAGTCTTACTGTTCCTTGTTGCAAGATCTCAGCTTACAGAATGAGCAARCACCTCCCCAACAGCCAACACCTTCCCCAAGACCTACACTCAACAATTATATGCAACAGAAATTGCCTCTCCTTGACATCAGGGAAGGCACTATTTGCAGGAAGAGTGAGTCCTCTGGAGTAGTAACTCAAACTGATCAGTTTCCATCAGGATCCATCTTATTTTACTGGGGTCCTCCCCTGCCTGAGGGAAATGCAGAGGAAGCTAAGGAAATGACTATAAATCCCGCTCTACAACCTGTCCCCGAACAGCTTTGTCCAAGTAGCCCAGACATCTCAAACTCAGCTGTTGAAATAAACTTCATACATGTCTCAAAACTCTGGCTGCAGACCTCCAGCCATCTAGGAGTCTAGCCAGGAACCTGAGGGTCAACCTCCACTCTTCCCACTCTCACCATCACATTTATTAAGTCACCCAGCTTGGCAGAGTGGGAGGAAAGGCTCATTCCTTCAACAAACCTTGCTAATTATTCTCTCCCAGTGACCTCAGCATTCTCAATACCTAACTTAACTGTTTGTCCATATCTTTGAAAAAACTTAATCAAAACCACTTTGTAAATATAAATACAATGGTTCCTCTGCTGTGTATGTAAACCAAGAAGAGGCAGTACATTATCTTCAAGAGCCTTGCTTATTCAAAATATGGTCCAAGGGCTACCAGCTGCAGAATTCATGAGAATTCCATGGAAATGAAACCCCTCAGGCCCCTTCCCAGCCCCACTGGATCAGAATCTGTATTTTAATCCAGGTGACCTGTATGCYCAATGAAATTTGAGAATCAATGCTGTAAGACGAGGATAATCATGTCACATTTTGCCTTATGCTGAAATCAGTCTCAGGACCCAAACACTCAGCAACTATACTACTGMGCTTTTAGCCCCCAACTTTAAAATGACATTTACCTTTTGATATAGCCAAGAGGACACTGCCCAGTGAATTATTAATCCATTACACTGTCAGTGAATCTCAGCACTAGCTGCACAAAAGAATCTCTGATTCTAGATTCTGACTTGGCCTGGGCATCCATATTTTTTATTGTAAYATGCAGTCCTGATTGAAACCACTATTACAGGAAGCCCATCAGCTTGAAAAGGGGTTTCTCAACTTGACCTTGGGAGTCTTTAAAGCTGTAATTTTGTTTTGTTTTTTTTTTTGGTGCTGGGCCTTGTGCATGTGAGGCAAGCACTGTACCACCAACTGAGCTATATCCCCAGCCCTAAAGCAGTAATTCTTAATCTTGGATGCACTTCAGAGTCATATGGGGAGCTTAAAAAACAAAACAGAAYTGCCATGTCAGGGTCCCATTCCAGAGAACTAAATCATGAGGAGTGAGAGGAGGGTCAAGGGATTTCTTTTCTTTCTTTCTTTAGACTTCATCAGATAGGAAAGCTACTTTACCTGTTCGCTATCCTTAYTTCCAGAAGGTCAAAAAACAGGTAAACAACGGTGCCAGTGGGGAAAATTAAGACAGAAATCCAGGAAAAAGAACTACTCTGCACCCTATCATTACTCTCCCTCTAGAAAGTGATGGCGGTATTTATCATGGTGACCACAACTAACAGCGACCAGTGTTTTGATGGCTGACCAAACAGGTGCCCTGCCTGCATTATCTCAACTAACCCTCGCTGCCACTCCACCACCCCGCCGTTCAGTCCGGGGCTCGGCGAGGCGAGGAGACCAGTTCCGCGGGGGCAGCCGGCGCGGGAACCCCGGGTGCGGGGGAGTCTGTGCTCGGCTCTGAAAGCAGTCACCAAGTCGCCGGCCTCCCGCAGGGGCCCACCAAACACGGGTCGGCGGCGGGGCTGGGGAGCCCACCAAGGCCCCCCGGGTCACCTGCTTGCAGCTGGCACGGTCCGGATGCCCGCTACCCCCTGACCTCCAGCGACCGGATCCCTGACCCCTGCCAAACCCCGGCAAAGTCACCGCGAGTCACCTGCGTGAGCACTAAGGCTAGCTGTGTAGTCCCGGGCCACGTCCGGTTCCCCGCAGGACACAAAGCGGTGCTGAGCGGCCGGGCCAGGGCGGGTACGGGGACACGAGGCAGCGGCGCGAAGGCCGCAGGCAGGCGGCGGACACAGGAGGAAAGGACACGAGCCGCCATGGCTACGCCGACCCAGGATGCACTGCGCCGCAGCCTCAGGCCCAGATTTTGTCCCCGCTACGCACAGAGCGGCGCTATCTGGCGCCGCCGGCGGTAGCGGCCCCTAGCGGCCCCTGGCGGCACTGCGCCCTCGAAGCCGCGCAGCCCGGCCGTCCAAGTACTTAGTGCTAATGGCACATCTGCGGTCTTCCCTTGAATGCTAGTCCTTCATGCAAGAAAGGTATTTGGTTTTATTTCTTCTCTGAAAATTCTGAAATACATTTATTTAAAAGTTGTGATGTCACAGTTCTTCCATAGGAATTTAAATTTAATAGTTTGCAACAGTTCAAAAAGTGAGAATCAATTTCAATACATAACTAAGACTAATAAATGTAAGGTATAGGCTACAACAATATACATGTCTTAAAAAGTGCCAGGCAACATATAAGTAATATTGTTAACAAAAGTGGGTAAATTAGCCGGGCTTGGGGCCATAGGCCTGTAATCTCAGCAACTCAGGAGGCCAAGGCAGGAGGATCACAAATTCAAAGCCAGCCTCAGCAACTTAGTGAGGCCCCGTCTCTAAATAAAATATAAAAAGGGATGGGATGTGGCTCAGTGGTTAAGTGCCCCTAGGTTCAATCCCCAGCTTAAAAAAAAAAAAAAAGAAAGAAAGAAAGGTAAATTAATCTTAGCTATTCAGGAGAGTAAATTAGAAGGATGGTAAGTTCTAGGTCAACCTTAGCAACTTAGTGAGACCTGTCTCAAAATAAGATAAAAAGGGCTGGGGATGTAGCTCAATGGGACAGTACYTGTTTAGCATGCATAGCAGACACTTGAGTTCAACCCTCAAAACTGGAAGAAAAAAAATAAAAAGAAAAACCCAAAAGAGGTAAGTGGATTTGGGAAGTTTATGCTAATTTGAACATATTTCTCAGCTAGGAGCCTAAGGAAATTGATTTAAATTGAAGCACACTGCCATGGTGAACAATCTAAAAATTCCTTTAGTTTCATTTTTCCAAGTAAAATGAAATATATCATCTTTGAAATAAAATGCATTGTATGAGCCCATTATGATAAAATTATTCCTATTTATTCATTCACTAAAACGTTGAGTCTCTATAATGAGCTTATTACTGAGGCCATAGCAATGAGCAATCCAGAGAGACRGTCTATTCTCACAGAGTTTTACATTCTGGTATAAAAATAAAGACAATAAACAAAAATATGTGAAAACAATGCAGTASTRTTCATAATAGCCAAGATAGGGAGTCAGTGTTGGTGTCCAGCAACAGATAGGTAAAGAAAATGTGGCATCAGGGTAAGAAGGACAGAGAGATGTTGGATAATAGGTACCAAATACAGTTAAATAAGTTCTAATTATATTTTTACTTTGTGAACCATCTTTCTTAGTCTCCCAGCACCACCATGCCCAGTTTACTGCTCTGCATATTAAGCGATTGGTTTTTGGTTGTTGTTTGTTTTTTGGTACCAGGGATTGAACCCAGGGGCGCTTAACCACTGAGCCACATCCCCGGCCCTTTTTATTTGTTATTGTGAGACAGCGTCTTGTTTTTTTTTTTTTTTTTTAATTATGTTTTAGTTCTCGGCGGACACAACATCTTTGTTGGTATGTGGTGCTGAGGATCGAACCCGGGCCGCACGCATGCCAGGCGAGCGCGCTACCGCTTGAGCCACATCCCCAGCCCAAGACAGCGTCTTGATCAGTTGCTTAGGGTCTCACTAGTTGCTGAGGCTGACCTTGAATTTGGGATCCTGCTTCYGCCTATTAAGTTGCTGGGATTACAGGCATGGGCCACCTCAACAGGCTTTCTTAAGCAATTGGAAGAGCACTTGTATTACGAATTGGGAGTAACTGCCCAGGCTCCATTTTAAGTGGCAGTATTCCATTCCTGCTGAAAACTGGCTCCAAAAAAACTCTTGCCTGGAGTTCTATGATCAAGGCCCTGATCTCTTCACAGAACCWATCCAGTATTTCTGTTATGTATCTCAGAAGTGGTTTCAGACACTCSTCGTCGTCTAGTATGTGAATGAAATCTGTTGTGCTGTAATAAGAATGTGGGGTCACCTATAATCCCAGCAACCTGCCATCCTCGGCGGTTTAGTTCCTCAGCAACTTAGCGAGACCCTGTCTTCAAATAAAAAATAAGAAGGGCTAGGGATGTGGCTCAGTCACAAAGTGCTCCTGGGTTCAATTCCCAGGACCAAAAGAAATAGAAGAAAAGAATTTGCTGTGTACTCCCCCTGCCCTTGAGAACGTGCAGTCTTCCCRTGCTCCGATTTGTGAGAACTTGATGTTACGTCCCATGGTATCAGAGCCCACGTRGAAGTTAGGTCAACTCCTGGACTTCAAAGTACACCTGAACCCAGGAGTTCTGGCAGACACTGTGAAAACCCAGGCTGGGTGGCAGGCGGAACTTTYAGCCCCTTCTCCCAATGTCAAGAGCTCAGGCTGGGACAGAACCTGGGGCCTGAAGCCAACCCCTGCCCAGTCCTCTGGCCTCTGCTTTGCTCAGGCCAGTTTCTCCTGAGAACAGCTTGCTTGTATAAAGGTGCACCTTGAACTTCAGTCAGACTTGACTTTCCCCACAGGCCTGCTTCCACCCTGGCTGAGCAATTAGACTCTAATTATTTTGGAACACACACGATTAATAAATCTCACCTACTAACGTATATTTCCTGTGAGATTTGTTCTCATTTTTCTCTCTTTTGAAACATGAACCTAAGAAAAAAATTCTCTTTGTATGGCAGTAGATCCCYGTGACTCATAAAATCATATTTTAATCATCTCCTTATTTTAAGCCTATGTTACATTTAATACTATGGTCAAACATAACAAATCACCTCTTATTTAAATCATATAATTGGGGAGAGTTCCTTTACCCTCCAGCAAATTCATGAAGAGAAAATGTCTACATGGTCTGTAAAGTAAAATGTCCRACCTTAAGATTCTCCTTCGTGTTTGGAGAAGCTTTAACAAAGAACATCGATGCCTTTCGGTAGCACTTCCATCACAACATGGATGGGCATAGTGGCACATGCCCATAACCCCAGAGAATCAGGAGGCCGATGCAGGAAGTTTGAGGCCAGTATGGGCAATTTAGTGAGATCCTATCCTAAAATTTAAAAAATAAATAAATAAAAAGGGCTGGGGATGTTGCTTAGTGGTAGGTGCTCCTGGGTTCAATCCCTAACACTCCCTCACCCCCCCAAAAAAAGGCTGGATGAATGGATGGACAAGCATAAATGCCATCACCCGTCATTCCTCCCTTTTTCTAGCCCATCTGTACTTCTGTCTCAACCCCTCTGTTGTCCCTGAGACCCTGCAACACCAGTCCTCTCTTCCTCTTTAAACTTTCTTTTATCTAGATCTTTCCCCTGAGCCCCTGAACATGCTGAAGTTTCTCCCAGTCTAAAAACAAAGCCAGGGACCAGCATGGTGGCACATTCCTATAATCCCAGTGGCTTGGGAGGCTGAGGCAGGAGGATCATAAGTTCAAAGCTAGCCTCAGCCATTTAGCAAGACCCTAGGCAACTCAGTAAGACCCTGTCTCTAAATAAAATAGAAAAAAGAGCTGGGGATGTGGCTCGGTGATTAAGTGCCCCTGGGTTCCATCCCCAGCACCAATAAATAAATAAACAAACAAATAAAAACACAGCCTCCTTCACTGATCCTTTACATACCTCTAGTATCCCCACCTCCTTTTATAGTTGAGCTTCTTTTAAAAAAAAAATATTTATTTTTTTAGTTGTAGTTGGACACAATAGCTTTATTCTATTTATTTTTTTAATGTGGTACTGAGGATCGAACCATTGAGCCCCACCTCCAGCCTCCAATTCACTCTTTTTTAAAAAAATATTTTTTCAGACATTGATGGGCCTTTATTTAGTTCATTTATCTATATGTGGTGCTAAGAATAGAACCCAGTGCCTCTCACGTGCTAGGCAAGTGCTCTACCACTGAGCCACAACCGCAGCTTCTCCAGTTCACTCTTTAATTCACTCAACTGGCTCCTACCTCTGACCTGAATGTTCTGTGAAGCTCACTACTACATCTGAGATGGCCAACACCAACTGATGAGTCTCTTTGGCAATTCATTTCCTGCCTAGTTTTTATGGCTGTACTTCCTCTGCTCATTTAAAGGCTGGTTCTGAAAGTCTGTCCTTGACCTACTCTTGACTTTGACTCACTCCAGAGACTTTAACTCCCGCCTGCATCCAGCCAGGCCTCTCCTCTGAGATTCACAGTCCTACATCCAGGTGTCTRGTCAACATTCCTAGTGGATGATCTGTAAGCATCTGAATTAATTCTCACCGTCCCTTTTGTCTTTTTTTGTACCAGGGATTGAACTCAGGGGCATTCGACCCCTGAGCCCCATCCCCAGCCCTATTTTGTATTTTATTTAGAGACAGGGTCTCACCGAGTTGCTTAGTGCCTCCCCATTGTGGAGGCTGGCTTTGAACTCCTGCCTCAGCCTCCCGAGCCACTGGGATGACATGCGTGCACCACCTGTGTCTCTATTTCATTGTCACCCACTAAACCAGAATTTTAAGACTCCTTCATTTCTCACATAATCAGGCACTCACTTAGTCTGGCCCATTTCTTTTCCCTCCTAAATCTTCCATTCCTTCTGTTTCATTTCCACTGTCTCTACCATAGGTCAGTCCCTACTAGTGTTCCCCTGCCTCTGCTCTTGGCCTCCAAAAAAGTCCATTAGCCACTCTGTAGCTAGAGTAGGATATCATCTCCTCACTGCTCAGACCCTGGAGTGCAGAACAAAGGGCTGGTTTGTTCACAGTCCTCACAAGGCTGCTGGCTACCTCTATGGCTTCCTAACTCCATTCTTCACAATGTCATTCTCCAGCAATCCTGATCCCTCCATCCTGTCCTTCTGCCCGAGACACCCTTTGTTTCTGCTGTGCCTGATTATCCCACAAGACTTGGCTAAGATGTCACCCTACTTAGTTTCTTGGTTGTGCCTTTGAGCTTCCATAGTACCTGAAATGTAACAGTACTTGTTACTTTGTCACAGTCCCCAATGCTATAGGGAACAGACCTTACAACACTCATTTTTATACCTGTAGTGTCAAGTGTGTACTGTTCGTTCAGTAGTTACTGGACTGGAATCACTGCTTAGCTCTACTGTTTTATTTTTTGCAAAACTGGGGACTCAACCTAGGGGTGCTGGAGTACTGAACTACAGCCCCAGCCTTTTATTTTTGAGACAGGGTCTCACTAAATAGCTGAAGCTGGCCTCAAAACTTGGCAATCCTCTTGCCTCATCTTCCCAAATTGCTGGAATTATAGGCATGCCACCTTGTCCAGTTCCACTCATTTTTTCTTAACTCTTTTTTTGTAGTGTACAGGATTGAACTCGGGGCCTCCTGCATGCCAGGCAAGTGCTCTACCACTGAGCCACATCCCCAGGCCAGTTTCAGTAACTCTTAATTCAAGATAAAATGTTTCTCAGGGGTTCTTGAGTAAATTAAATACTTTTGAAAAACCATTATCTATGATCTGCTAGTGAATGAACTAGAGTTCAGATATGCACAGGAAAGTTGTGTTTTATATAAATGGATCAAAGGATATAAATGCAGTAAGAAAAATCACTACAGTGAATATTAAAAATGTCTTTTAAAAAATGTACTCAAAAGAATACCATGTAAATAACTAAAGTAGCTTGAGATAAAATTTCCAATGATACCAACATATTAGCGCCTTAAAAATTTCTGTTAGACCACTTAGGCAAAGGTGAAGGCAATGAACTTAGGAAAGTTATGTCATTGGCTCAAAAATGACTCTAGAGATAATGCAGGCACTGGGACTAGGGAACCAGGGATCGGGCTCAGTGGTAGAGTACTTGCCTAGCATGCCTGATGCCCTGGGTTAGATCCCCAGTACTCAAAAAAAAAAAAAAAAAAAAAAAGTGAGAATCAAAAAACAGTATTTCCAAATTAATAGATTTGTATCACTTTTAGTATATATGTGAAAGTAAAGTAATACAAATAGCATAAAAAGTATACTGCATATTAGTATATTCAGTTAAGTGAAATTTAACTCCTTATGCAAACATTATTGGCTAAATATTCTAGCTGTATAGTAACTAGTTCTTGTTTTTGAAAATGAGCTAAATAAAATAGGTAAAAAAGAATATGCCAAGCAGAATTTATCAAAATAAATATTTATTGACATTTGAATTTTTATATACACTTATTAAAAGCAAATGTGCAAATATTGGGAATACAAAAACTGACCCAAAGCCCTTTCCCCTCAAAGTAAGTATAAACAAATATTCAAGATCAGTAGTGCCACCACCAGCAAAATAAAAATAAGTCTCTCTGGATGGACACAAGTAATTATTATTATTTTTTTAAATTTATTTATTTATTTTTTAGTTTTCGGTGGACACAACATCTTTGTTTGTACATGGTGCTGAGGATCGAACCCGGGCCGCACGCATGGCAGGCAAGCATGCTACCGCTTGAGCCACATCCCCAGCCCACAAGTAATTATTTTAAATGTCATTCAGATATTCCTTTACAGTTGTACTCCAAAGGGGAAAAAAAAGAGGCCACACATATCCAGAAAACTGTTATTTCCCTCTTAACTTATATGTAGCGATATATAAATATATTTCCATCTTTTTGTCCAGCCAGTAAGTGAGAATCTGTACCAGACCATTTAACAAAAGACCAATTTTGGTCAGAGATGGGTGGAAGGACAGCAGTACAATGACCCAGAAGTAAGTCCCAAATGGCAATTGTCCCAGAAGTCAAGACTGCTGCTGCAAAATGATCTTTCACGTCCCCTTCTAGGAACCTGGTACCAAGCAGAGAAGAGACAATTCAGATTACATGTCAAAAAAGCTTTTTTGTTTTTTAAAGTATAAAAAATTTTTAAAAAGCCCCAAACCAAGTTCCCTCAAGCCCTAGAGCACCAACCAGAACAATCTCCCTGTGGCTGTGGGTGCCCAACCCGAGAGGACCAGGGGCTCGTGTGTGGCACTGCAGTCCCTGCCTGTCCTCAGGTTGCACACCGGCCCCTGGAGGCCTTCCTCCCTCTCTTCACACTAGCCAAAACCAGTCCTTTGCAGTGGCTTTGCTCTTACTATTTCCTCGCCTGGGAGGCTCAATCCCCAGATCTCAGCAAGGCTGGATTCCTGTCATCATCAGGCATGCCACTGCCGTAAAAAGGCCATACCCAATGAACCATCTGAAAGAGCACACATTTGTACCTGTCCCTTCTGTTACATTCTCTGGTTTTATCTTCGTAGCACTTTGCACTGGGTGACATTATCCTACTGCCATACTTGGTGGGGTGTCTCCCCTACCAAACCATAAGCACCATGAAGCAGAAATCTGGTTGCCTTTTACCAGTCAGCTACCTGGGTTTGGATTCCAAGTTCTAGAATGTAAGAGTTATGTGATTCTGGGCATAAACTAATTCCATCAGCAAAATAAGGATAATAAGGGCACCTGTTTCATAAGACTGTTGTGAAGTTGAATTAAACAGTTCATATAAAAAGCTTATGGGCTGGGGTTGTGGCTCAGCGATGGAGCGCTCGCTTAGCACATGCGAGGCCCTGGGTTCGATCCTCAGTACCACATGAAAATAAATAAATAAAGATATTATGTCTAACCAAAAAAATAAATATTAAAAAAAAAGCTTATAAGAGGGCCTGGGGATCTAGCTCAGTTGGTTGAGTGCTTGCCTCACATGCACAAGGCCCTGGGTTCAATTCCCAGCTCCACCAAAAATAAAAACACTTATTAGTACAATCCATGCCACACAGGAAATGCTCAGTAAAAAATCAGCTTTCAGCTGGGCACAGTGGCATATGCCTATAATCCCAGTGGCTCTCAGGAGGACTGCGAGTTCAAAGCCAGCTTCAGCAATGGCGAGGAGTTTAGCAACTCAGTGAGACCCTGCCTCTAAAATCAATAAATAAAAAGCTTTTATCTATTATTATCATTCAGTGTCATATCATCAGCACTTTGCAGAGCCGGTGCCTATGCAGCCTCAAGGAATATTCTCTGAATGAACAGAATGATATTTTTATCCCCTTACTGCTACCCAGCTCTGAATACCTAACCCTTTACTCTTCGGAAGGTCCTCGAGCCGGCACTGCCAATTAGATGCTCCTCCATCTTTTTGCTCCCAAACAATGTGAGCCCCGTGTGCGGCATATGGTGCACCTAACAGCAGTCTCTAGTATTTATTTCTAACTTCCACGAGATTGGAAATAAAGGTGCTTTGTTATGGTCTCCTCCAAAATTTATCTGTTGAAATTTAATCATGATACTCGGAGGTGAGGATTTTAGGAGGTGATTAGGCCATCAGGGCAGAGATCACGCGAACAGGACGGTGCTCTTATAAAAGAGGTCTCAGAAAAGTTGGCTCATCCCTTCTATCAGATGAAGACACAGTGAAGAAGTGCCATTTATGAATAAGGAAATGGACCCTCACAGATGGAATCTGCCAGTGCCTTGATCGTGGAATTCCCAGCCTCCGGAATGATAAGGAATGAGCTTCTGTTATTTGTAAGCTACCTAGTTTATGGTATTTTGTTATAGCAGCCCAAACAGATACTTCCCACAGGATTGGCATTAAATAGGCTTTCAAAGTTTGCTGAATAAATGGGTTTAAAAATTAACAGGAGCTGGGTGCAGTGATGCACGCCTGTAATGCCAGTTACTCAGGAGGCTAAGGCAGGAGGACTGCAAGTTTGAGGTCATCCTTAGCAACTCAGTGAGACCTTGTTTCAAAATAAAAAATAAAATAACAAAAAAAGCTGGGGATGTGGCTTAGTAGTCAAGTGTCCCTGGGTTCAATCCCTGGTAATCTCCTCTGCCCCCCCAAAAAAGTGACAAAGGAAATGCTTGACCAAGTAGTTATCTTCATCTTCAGTTTCTAGGGCAATTACCACAGTTCTCTCTTCACACCCAAAACAGCAAGTTCTATGTGTAAACACAAATTGAAGATAATATTTATGATTTTTGCAGGTGGGATACTAGGGATTGAACTCGGAGTGCTCTACCATAGACCTACATTCCCCAACTTCTTTTTATTTATTTTGTGATAGGGTCTTGCTAAGTTGCCAAGACTGGCCTCCAATTTGCAATCCTCCTGCCCCAGTCTTCTGAGTTGCTGGGATTACAACTGTGAGCCACTGCACCTGGCTCAGTTATGATATTCTTGTTAAAAAACATTTGCAGAAGTGCCACAGCTGGCCAAGTGTACATGGACAGAGACTATCTTTTGGATCAAGCAGGTTTAGCACAAGGTCCAAAGAAACAGGCATTAAAACCATCCAGGTTCCTCATCCTTACAAGTTATTAAAGCTAGACTCTACTCTGGATTGACTATATTTTTCCAATCCTTGCTGCTAATTTCACACATCAATAAAGGTAGTCTCTAAGACTTACATGTTCAGATGTTGCTTTGTTGACCTAACAATATCCACTACTTCTAAAGTTTATCAACTCAGAACCCCCCGGGGTGCCAATAACTGTGTCATTAGTGTCAGTCAGTACCCACGAGTAGAAATGTTTATCAATAAGTAACAACTGCCTGCTTAGTGGAGGCTCAGTCAGATTTCAAAGTGAAGATGTCTTCCTAAAGTGTATTTAAAAGTTCCTTAATTCAGGTCTTAAGGAAAGAACATGCACTGTGAGGATTCCACAGAGAATGTGCGATACTCTGTGTATTTAAAACATTTTCCTAAAAAATAAAAATAAACATTTTCCTTACAGAAAAAAAAAGGGCTTGAATACACATGTATTTTTTTGAGGGGTTGGGTTACCAGGGATTGAACTCAGGGGCACTCAAACACTGAGCCACATCCCCAGCCCTATTCTGTATTTTATTTAGAGACAGGGTCTCACTGAGTTGCTCAGTGCCTCACTTTTGCTGAGGCTGGCTTTGAACTCATGATCCTCCTGCCTCAGCCTCCCAAGCCACTGGGATTACAGATGTGTGCCACTGCACCCAGATTGAATACACATTAAAGAAAAAAAAAAAAGGCAATCTAAGCTCATACCGATGGGGATCAATGGATATAAGGGAATCTGGGAGTTTGATTCAAATCAACTAACTTCATCCTACTTCTTAACCTTACTATTATAGTATTTCATGTTTTCCATTCATTAAAGTGACACAAAGGTATCTCGTTTTTGTATCTGCAGAGTGCCTTCCAAACTGTCACAACCATAGATCAGCAGTCACATGCACTTGCCTTCCAGCCTGCCCCTGTGGGAGACAGTACAGCATCACGCCCACATTCAGGGTCGTCTTAGGGTTAATCACAATCAGCTGAAACACGGGGCTGCCCAACGCCTCCCTCTCTTTGGCACAAGAATGACTCAGAACAACAAACAGGAGCCCCTAATTTAAGGAAAAAGAAATCAATAACCAAATACACCATTAAGAGCATGTTTGGCAGAGATAAAAACCAAAGAATAATAGGAACGATCAACAGGCTCCACAGTACCCAGGACTGAACTACTGGCTTCAGTTTTTCTTCAGACAGAAATGCTGACATTACCACCAAGGCTGGACTCCCAGCTTCTTGAGCACAGGGCTCCCAATAAGTGCTTCGGCCAGTCTTGCCAAGCAGGAATCTAACTGACCCATCGACTCCTCCATGACTACAACATCTCATGCAAATTTCCATTTGCGGAAATGTTGTACAGGGAAGGAGGACACAGACACACATACAGGGAGTCCTCGAATTACAAATACTCATCTGCAAGTTGTTTTTTGGAAATTCAGAACACATTTTTCCATAAAAACAACTTAAAAAAYATTTTAAATTGTAGGTGGACACAATACCTTTATTTTGCTTATTTAGTTTTATGTGGTGCTGCGGATTGAACTCAGGGCCTCACACATGCTAGGCAAATGCTCTACCATTGAGCTACAACCCCAGCCCCTAAAAACCACCTTTTAAGGGGAGACTAGAGTCTTAGCCCAGACCATAATAGCCTATTTAAAACTCAGACACTATTACTCTCTACTAAGGTAACAAAAAAAAAAAACTACAAAAGATAAAACAAACAAAAACAACAACAAAAGATACTGTCACGTATGGCTGTTTCTGTGGGAAAATCTCATCCAGTTTTAAAATTACAACTTCTAATAATAATATCAGTGTTGTATACATACATACATACAAATATGTATGTACACGTACAGACATATATACATTGAAATTTCTCTTTGGGACTAAGACAGGGAAAATTAAACTGTAAGGTCATTTTACGATTAGCATTCATTTTCTACTTTCTGCATTTTTGAATGAATTTTTAAATAAAAATGAATTACCTTTGTATTTAGAAAACTTGAGAATCTTAAAATGTTAAAGGCAACATACTTAACAGAGTTAACACACGATGGCCCACAGGCCAATTCTGACCCAACCCTTATTTTTCCTGAGGTAAGAATATTTTTCAGTTTGAAATGGTTAATTATATGAAATTCGGATTTCCTTGCTCACAGTTTTATTAGAATACAGACACATCCATTCATATATGTCTAAGGCTGATTTCATGCCATAATAGCAGAGTAGAGAATTACAACAGAGACACTATTTTCAGGGAGGGTGAAAATATTTGCTATGTGGTCCTGGATGGAAAAGTATGCCAAGCCATCAGTGCTCTCTGGGGATGCAGGTAAGTGGTAGAGCACTTGCCGAGCACATGTAAGGCTCTGGGTTCATTTCCAGCCTACTAAACAAACAAATAAATAAAAAGTGAACTACTATTTTTGAAGGTTGGCTTTATGGGGAACTGTTAGTGTCTAACATCTGTTGCTGGGTTTTTTTGGTAGTAACAGAGATTGAACCCAGGGGGCACTCTACCACTGAGCTCCATCCCAGTCCTTTTTATTTTTTATTTTTAGATAGGGTCTCCCTAAGTGGTCCAGATGGCCTCATATTTGCAACCCCCTGCCTCAATTTCCTGAATAGCTGGGAATGTAGAGGTGTGCCACCTTGTAAGGCCTACCTAATATATTTATGTTAAATGTTTTAATATCAAGAAAGTATTAATGCTGTAACACAAAAGATATAAATTTATTTAAATGCACAATAGATAAATTCTAGAGACAAATCCAACCTTCTTGCTTCAAGGATGAAAAATATTAGGCTCAAGATTATGTGACAGATTTTCTAAGATCACACATCTTTCATGTTTACAGCATCTGGGTGCTAATGCTCTCAGAGTCACCACTGATACCCAGCAAGTCAGTGTCTACACGAGCACTGAGCCTCTGCTTGGGCTTTTAACAGTAGATGCTCATGTGGGTTAGTCCTCACTTGGGGACAACTAACTTCAACCTGTTTGGATGTCAAAACTAGACTGTAAGTTAAGTCTATTAACAATGGTAAGTAACTACGTTTGTTTCTATATGAGAACACTTAAGCCCAAGAGAAAAACATGTCTAAGACAATTTAATCATCCTCTCTAAAGGTACTCATTCATATCTCACATCATTTATGGCAATGTAGTCTGGAGTCATATCTCATAATAGGCATATTTTTTAGTCAACAAATTCATAACTGGGAATAAACATTTGCCTATAAGTCATAAAGCCAGGAAATTCAATAAGTAACTACATTGAATCAACACTTATCTTCATTCATAAATGTCATGAAAAAACAAACATTGATATCCAGTTTTGGAAAAACTGTCAACAGGGAGGGTCTGCTGGTGAGACCAACAACAGCATGTAAGTCAACACCAAGCAGTCCCAGAGCAGCACTTACCATTTCAGAATAGGCTTTGTGACAGACGGAAGCTTGAAAAGAATCGTCAATGTGCATCTTTTTCAGGAGTTGACCAGTTTTTAAATTCCTTAAGACACCAGAAATAAATAAGCTGATCACATTCTTCTGGCAAACTGGTTTTCACATAATATTATTTATCACAGCATAAATAAAAGGTGACCAAGGGAAAAACTAAGGGACATAGTACTTCATTTTTSTTTATTCACAGATTTAGCTCAAAGTAGAACTATAGGTTAACTTTGCCAATAGTTTGATAGTTTAGCCTTAGTTAAATAGACCTATTTATCTGCTCCACCACTAGAGATAACTCTCCAAATTCCATGAGAACAGTTTTCCATTATCTCATTTTACTTGGTATTGAACAGGCACATGGGACAGTACTATGATTATGATTTTGCTATGCCTAAATTTTCCATGGGGGACAATGGCCAGGAAACCAAACTTTTTTTTTTTTTTTTTTTTTTAAAGAGAAAGTGAGAGAGGAGAGAGAGAGAGAGAGAGAGAGAGAGAGGATTTTTTTTTTATTTATTTTTTTAGTTTTTGGCGCACACGACATCTTTGTTGGTATGTGGTGCTGAGGATCGAACCCGGGCCGCACGCATGCCAGGCGAGCGCGCTACCACTTGAGCCACATCCCCAGCCCAGGAAACCAAACTTGATTGGGTGAGACTATACCAAAAACAGATCTAGAGTCTACATCCATTATACGTTTACACTACAGCTAGACCAAGTTAATGGAAAGAGAAGGAAAGACTGAGAGTAAAAAATGGAAGAAGAAAGTAGAAAAGAGGGTGAATACAAGGAAGAAGAACAAATGGAACATTTGTGGGAACCACATCCTGGCTTTGTTGAGGAGTTGTGACTCTGAGCCACAAGATGAAGTCCAAGTTCCTTCACGGCATTTATAACCCTCATGAATCCAGTGCTACAATACTACATTATTCGCCTCTCCCTTGCCTGAAATTTTACCAAGCTTACGACATTGTGCATATCCATGGCTCTAGATCTTTGGTCAAGTTATCTTTCCTCTAAAGGCCAGTTCCCGTCCATTTCCCATGGCAGAGATGATGTCCCAGCTCCTCCAAGATGCAGGAACTCAATTTAGACCCTCTCTCCTCTTATGAGTTCACAGTCTTCTCCTCTCGTCTAATTCTAGTACTGTCCATATGCCTCATTTTGTATTTAATATATGCTATGATAGGATTTAACATGTTCATTCAACAAATACAGAACTTTCTTTGGTGAGAAACTGTGTTTAAAAACCTGAAGAAAGAAAATTAAAATTTCATGGGCACATGCAAGGTTTTCCTATTAGGAAAACCAGAATACATTCATCCCCTACAGAAGTTGGCATATGCTCTATATTCAGTAATTGCTTTTTCCCCAGATCCCAAAGCATGTTGCCCAAACCTCTATCACTTTGAATGTGTGTGAAGTATAAAAGAATTTCACTGGAATTATACACTGTGAATTGTAAAGGAGTCTTATTTACCTACTAGATTTTAGAAGCCTTGGGACCAGGATTCAGATGCTTCATTTCTACATCTCTCAAAGAGAATGGGACACCAGTAGAGATTCAGTTATCTTTTGATTGTATGAAAAATGTTGCTCAGCAAATATAGCTTAATCAAGATAAAATATTTAAAATTCCAGCAAGTTACCAAATATGGCCACTCAAATCCCAAGTGTAACATGAATCACTATAGATATCTAACAGATCAGAAGTTAAATAAGAAAGGTGATGCTGGGTGTGGTGGCACATGCCTGTTATCCTAGCACTCCGGAGGTTGAGGCAGGAGGACTGGGGGTTCAAGGTTAGCCTGGGCAACTGAGTGGGACCCTGTCTCAAAATAAAACATAAATCAGGACTGAAGATGTAGCTTAGTGGTAAAGTACCCCGGGTTCAATCTCTAATGCCAAAACCCCCTCAAACAAACAAACAAACAAACAAACAAACAAACAGATAGACATTACATAGAGCCCAAAAGGTCAAATGATAGTTTCTTTAGATAATATGGTTGATGTCATTTGAGTACTAGTCTAGGCAAGGAACTAGGGAAAGCACTAAGAACAGATGCAAGACATAGCACTTATCTTCAATTGCCAGAAAAAAGAAAAAATATATAATGTAGTAACTAGTAAGTAAAAAACAAGGGCCATATAAATTTAAAGAGGGAAACATCAATGAAGCTGAGATGACAGGAAACTCAAGGCAGCTGTGGGGTGAAGATGTTCCTTAACAGGATATCCTGCAAGGGAAGCCTAGTAAAGAGATCCCTCTCCACTCCCAACCTTTGTGATCTATTACAACCCAAACGCCAAAGGTCTACTACTAGAAAAAGGGCAGGAAAAAAAGAAGCTAAGGAGTACAGAGTACCAGAGAAGACAGTTTTGTAGTAGAGCAACAGGAAGCGGAAGGTGAAGAGAAGTCAACATGGCGGGAGTGTAGCTCAGTGGTAGAGTATTTGCCTAGCATGCACAAGCCCCTGGGTTCAATCCCAAGTACCCCGGAAAAAAAGAAAGAAAATGATTTGGTTGTTGAATATTGACTGATGGCAAGGAGACCAATTATTATATTATATTTAAGTCCTGAGTCAAATAATTAAGGTCTGGACTATAGAAACAGGAGAAAGAATAGAAAGACAACTTATAGAAAGAACATTGTCTTCAAATAAGGCTGTACACAAACCCTGGGAAATGCACCCARAGTGGATACTGCTGTTCTAGGTGGCAGGGCCTCTGGAAATGGTGTCTCCTGGATGACTAGAATAATGAAGACAAATTTCAGAGGCTCTCTAGTGGAGAGAAGACAAAGTTTCTCTCAGTGGCCATGTTTTCTAGTTTATTTCCAGAGGGCTGGGGTCAKATGATACATAATAGATAGGGTGGTGGTGACACTAATAATTTCCTCTTACTAAGACCCATTTTAGTCCCAAGGAAACAGTTAACAGACAAGGCTATTGAGCGGGAGAAAAAAAAAGTCAATATATTTTCCTAACAAATTAAACTTATAAGTGCCTATAGCTGGATATGGCTCTCTCCTGTACTCAGACAAAAAGTGGTTGGGTGGTTAGGGACTCTTCCCTATACTAAATTTGTTAATTTGGTTCCTATATGTTATCAAATATGTTATATGTGTTTTGTACATCTAGTAATTTTGGATTACATCTTGATACAATATGTTGCAAAAACTCTGGATTCTGTTAGGTTCCTCTGAAAACACTGATTATGTTGTTTGCTTGTTCTAATAAACAACTAACCTGGCTGAATTTCAAATGCTGAAATTCCAGTTCAGTTCTTTTGGCCTTACTTGGGATGCTCACAGTCCACCCAGGTAACGCAGTTTACAGGATCAGTCAGGTGGTTAGGTAATAATTATATTCAGAATTTTGGTTTCCTCTTTGGTCTCCTTTTTAGGACTTTTCTCCCTCACTTTCTAGCTGCTGTGGCCACCTGAATTCTGTCTTTTGGTTCTTTAAGTTGGCAGGACAAAATGTTTGCTATTAGGCTTTTTGTCACCCAGAAATCAGGACTGGGGACTGCCCCTGGCTCAAAGCTTTAAGAATAAAAAACTTGTTCTGTGCCATTTACTGCTTCTAGGTGAGAAATCCATTATCTTTCTTTTTTTTTCTTGCTCTCTGGTGTCTTCAGATGGTTGTTTTTATTTTTTTTTCGAGAGTTTGTAGTTATTTGAGGTAGGAAAATTCATTTGACAGAAATTACTCAATTATTAAACAGAAGCAAAAACAACTGTACATTTTTACAACAAAATTCCATTTATTTTAAACTAGTCTACTCTAAATGAATGCAACTCTCTTGGTAAGACAAGCATATAACATCTGACAGTTAAAAAAACCCACTAACAACAACCATGTTTACACAGTCTCTTGTCTAACCRTCACTGTCCTGTACAGTCAGAGGCATACCCCAACTGAATGATGAGAAAACTAGGACCTCAAGGGAAGGCTTACCAGATAACAATGTTGTTCATGATAGTAGTACCAAGCAGAGCTTCCTGCATCCCTTGGACCTCACCAAAAGTAAGTATAGTCTCTTCAGGGGGCATCAAAAACTGTTTTTCTTTGCTTCTGAATTTAAAAAGTATTAAAAATTAGTATGGTACACTAAAGCAGTTTTTTTAAAATTTTGTACCAGGGATTGAACTCAGGGGCATTCAACCACTGAGCCACATCCCAGCCCTCTTTTGTATTTTTTTAATTTAGAGACAGGGTCTCACTGAGTTGCTTAGCACCTCACTTTTGCTGTGGCTAACTTTGAACTCCCGATCCTCCTGTCTCAGCCTCCCAAGCCGCTGGGATTACAGGCGTGCCACCATGCCTGGCAACAAAGCAATTTCTAAGAAGTCCTTCACACATTATTGAATTAACACAATAAAATTTAAGCTAACACTGAAAAAAAAAAATTAAGCAGATAACTGTATATTCTAAACTTCCTACAATGAATTCACATTTCTTCCCTATTAGCTACTTGGGATGTTGCAAGTATCTCAATATCATCATATCCAATATTAAGCTCAAACTTTCTCTTTAAATCTCATTTTTTTTCACATTTTTATCTCAACAACTATACAACCATCTACCCAGATGACCATCTCTGAAACCTGCACATTATTCTTGTCTCCTTCCTCTCAATCTAGTCACTCACCATGTCTTAGTAACTTTATTGTCTCATTTCTCACAAATTTGTCTGCTTCTTCCCATCTCTACTAAGACTTTTGTAACTTAAGCAAACACTTATTTCTGTTTTGTTTTATTTTGCAGTCCTGGGGATTGAACCCAGGAGTGCTCTACTATTGAGCTACATCACCAGATTGTTTTATTCTTTTGTTTGAGACAGAGTCGCACTACATTGCTGAGGTTGGCCTTGAACTTACAATCTTCCTGACTGGGCCTCCTAAGTCACTGGGATTATAGGCATAGGAAACTGAGCCTGCTAATTATTTGTCTCTTGCCTAGAATAATGCCACAGGTCATGAATAAATAAGACAAATAAGGTCCTTGCCATTTGTTATTAGGAAACATGAATAATAATAGTGTAACCAGCTGCAGGTAYAGCTCAGTGGTAGAATATACATGTTAAGCATGCACAAGGCCCAGGGGTCAATCCCCAGCACAAAAATAAAATCAAAGAAAAAAAAAAAAAAAAAGAAAGAAAGAAAAGAAAAAGTGTAATAAGGATATGGCAAAGAAGATATCTGAGTTCAGTTTTCTACAGGTTGAATTTGAGGTGTCCTCAAGATGTTTAAAAAACAGGCACAAAGGCCTAGAGCTGGAGAAAGAGCACAGAACTGAAAATGGATGTTTCCAAGTAGTCAAGTCAGCATCTGGAAGGTCACTGGAGCACTGGACACCAAATGTGTGGAATGAGGACTGGGTCCAGGACTTTGAGGTGGTACTTTGGACATGAAACCCAGGGCCTCACACATGCTAGGCAGGCACCTACCACTGAGCTACATCCCCAGCCTGGCTTTGAGGTTCTTCTTCTTCTTGTTCTTTTTTTGGTACCAGGGATGTTCAGCCACTGAGCCACATCCCCGGCCCTTTTCATATTATATTTAGAGACAGGATCTCGTCGAGTTGCTTAGGGCCTTGCTAAATTGCTGAGGCTGGCTCTGAACTCTCAATTCTCCTGCCTCAGCCTCCCGAGCTGCTGGGATTACAGGCATGCACCACTGAGCCTGGCTGAGGTATATCTAATATGTAAGGGGAATGCAGAGATTTCAAAGAAGTCTGAARAAAAATCAAACTCAATTCACTTATGTTCCCCACTCTGCTGACTTCTTTCCTGTCATGTCTGACCTCTGCTTTTTCTGACTTGCTTCTAGGTGGTAACCTGGCACTGAGACATTCAATACAGAAAAACAGGATCCTAATCATCTCCTTTCTCTGAAACCTGTGAGAAAATGTTTCTCCATCTAATAGTCACAATCAACCAATGCTTTGCTTACCTTCCGTCCTCTGCAAAAGTCATGATTTCCACTTGCTGATCACAAAGGGTCCCACTGCTACTAACGAGCCTCTTCCTTGTCAGGCCAAGCACAGCTTTTATGTTTCCAGATTTCAGTAGTACTTGTTTTTCACTTTCATCCTCAGAGGAACAAAGTAATGCCCTGAGGAAAAATGGGGAGAACCCAGGAGTAAGCCCTCTTTTTTTGGTACTGGGGATTAAACCCAGGGGTGCACCACTGAGCCACATCCCCAATCCTTTTTATTTATTTATTTTTAATTCTTTTTTTAGTTGTAGATGGACACAATATCTTTATTTTATTTTTATGTGGTGCTGAGGATCAAACCCAGTGCCTTCTAYATGTGAGTAAGCACACTACCACTGAGCTATAACCCAGYCCCCTTTTCATCTTTTGAGACAGGGTCTTGCTAAATTGTTGAAGCTGGCTTTGAAGTTGCAATTCACCTGCCTCAGCCTCTGGAGCCGCTGGGATTTCAGGCATGCACCACCATATCCAAAAGAATATATACAACATTTGTCTGTATATATTTTAATATTTAATATTAAAGGGCTAAGTGCAAATTTCAAATGGAAATTTCAATCAAGGATGCCATTTGTTGATTTTTTAAAAAACTTTTTTTAGTTGTAGATGGACACAATATCTTTATTTTTATTTGTTTATTTTTATGTGGTGCTGTGGACCGAACCCAGGGCCTCATGCATGTGAGGCAAGTACTCTACCACTGAGCTACAACCCTAGCCCGATTTTTCTTTTTTTTTTAAACAAATCTCTCTTTAAATCTAAATCCAAATTCTTTTTTGAGACTGAAGCCTAGAGCTGGCTATATACCTGTAATTGTAGCCACTCAGGAGATTGAGGCAGGAGGATCCCAGGGTAAGGCCAGCCTGGGTTATATAGTGAGATCCCCATCTCAAAAAACAAGACCAACCAACCAACCAAAACCCTAAGCCTAGGTGATAACCTCCACTCAAAACAAGATGACAGAGACAAAGATAAAGGGAAAAAAAGAAAAAGAAATCACCTTGGGAATTACCTGATTTCTCTGATCTCCAAACTTCCCAAAGCCACACATACAAGATTACAAACATCGGGCACTGGAACTATTTGTAATACAGGTACCTAAATAAAACAAAGCACCCTCAAATTATATTTGGTTGTTTAACTTTAAATGTTCCAAAATTTATCACATTCTTTTATATTCTCACTATACCAGGACTGTTTCCGACATGTGAACAAATGTGAATAGGTGCAGAAAATATCTTCTTTTTGCAAGTTGTAAACCTATGTATATATACTATTTGCATAAGTTTAGTTGGCATTTCCTTCAGCAGAAAAAAAAAAAAAATTCCTTTTTTTTTTGAGATAGGTTTTGATGTGTTGCTCAGCCTGGCCTTGATCCTTTGAGCTCAAGTGATCCTCCTGTCGCAGCCTCTCCAATAGTTGGGACTGCAGGCGCACACCAGTGTGCCCACTGAGTTAACATTTATTTAGTGCAATTTATACTTATGATAATGGGAATAATTAAGTAAATTCTAACAAGTGAATAAAGAGAACATTATGCTGCATTTAAAACTATATATTTATCTTAGTTGTTCAAGAAACTGAGGCAGGAGGACCATTTGAGCCCAAGAGTTCAGGGCTAGCCTGGGTAACATAGTGAGACCATCTATTAAAAAAAGAAAATTATGTTTAGGGGCTGGGAGTATAATTCAGTGGTAGAGCATGTGCTTAGCATACAAAAGGCCCTAGGTTCAAGCCCCAGCACCAAAGTAAATAAAAAAACTAAATWAAAATGTTTAYTCACTGAACAAATATTTATTGAGCATCTCTACTGAGCACAGTGCTAGAAGCTGTGAGAACAATGGAAAACAAGAATGAAGTATAAACCAGTATGAAGAACACGTTAGCCACAAGGAAAAATGCTTATTTACATGGTAAAGGAGAAAAGACAGATTAAAAAATTTAAAGCATACTAGGATTACAACCATGAAGCTCTGAATGATAAAGAAAGCAGAAATGATGTTTTGGTGAAGGGCAGGGAACACGGGTTTAAGGCAGTTTAAAAGTCAGAATGGACATGAAATTCAAGCTCCACAAACAGGTCTTGTGTAAAAATTCTTTTTTAGATAAACAGGTAATAAAGCACATCTTGATGGCAGAGTCTAGATGGTGGGTACATGGTGTTCAGTGTACCATGTTTCTGTATGTTTGAAAAAAAAAATTTTTTTGGTACCTGGGATTGAAATGAGGGGCACTCAACCACTGAGTCATATCACAGCCCTATTTTGAATTTTATTTAGAGACAGGGTCCCACTGAGTTGCTTAGCGCCTCGATAAGTTGCTAAGGCTGGCTTTGAATTTTCGATCCTCCTGCCTCAGCCTCCTGAGCCACTGGGATTGTAGGTGTGCACCACCATTCCTGGCTGAAAATTTTCATAATAAAATGTTGAGAAAATAAACCAAAATCTTTCTGCTCTGTTACTTCTGGTCAGAGATCCCAATGTTGCCAAGCTGTTTGCTATATTATCACACAAATGACTACTAAGATATCTAAGATTCTTCTTTTTTTGAGGTGCTGGGGTTCAAACCCAGGGCCCCATGCATGACATCCCTGAGTTCCAGTTCCATCACTTCTAAGGTTCTGACTTACCTCTGTGAAATGCCAGGTGTAGATTTTTTCCCACTGCCAAGTATCCAGAGGTCTCCAAAGAGAAACTACATATTCACAAGCTGTTATGATACATGGCTCCTTAAAACCAGCTCGTTCCCACCACATGGCACTCACATCCACGGAACAGGAACCAGAAGGATTCTGACCCAGAATGGTAACAACAGTTATGTTAAAGGGATACCTGAGGTCTGTTTCATGAAAAGAATAAATATAAAAAATGACGAATTACAAGGATTAGATGAACTACCAGGTAGTAAAAAGTTTTATGCACATCAAAAGAAAGAGTTCTKTYGATCTTATTTAAAAATATTGCCTATAGACATGTACATGATGACAGATTTAAAACGCGTAACTCCAGGATGGGATAAATTCTTATTTARGCACAAAAGGACAGTTCATGAGAACTTAATAATTTGGTAACATTCTGGTAAGCCATTCATGAGTTGTAGAGGGAGTTACATTGAAATCACATATAATATGCTACCTCTAATTATGATGAAGAAAACACTGTGTATTGAAACCCCCAGGACATTTCCAGGAGAAATTCACAATTGTACACAGATTTATTGAAAATAAGAAAAATAAGGTTAAAAAAACAAACAAACAAACAAAAAAACCAACAAATGAACAGAAGGAAGAAATTTTTATCAAGGATAAAACTGAAATAAGTTAAGGAGAAATACTAAAAAATATTCAATTAATACTTAATATAGGGGCTGGGGTTGTGGATCAGCAGTAGAGAGCCTGTCTACCGCATGTGAGGCCCGGAGTTTGATCCTCAGCACCACATAAAAATAAATAAATAAAGGTATTGACAATCATAACTAAAAAATAAATATTAAAAAAGAATTACTAGGGCTGGGGATGTGGCTCAAGCGGTGGCGTGCTCGCCTGGCATGTGTGCGGTCAGGGTTCGATCCTCAGCACCACATACAAACAAAGATGTTGTGTCCACCGTTAACTAAAAAATAAATAAATAAATAAATTATCTTTCTCTCTCTCTTTTAAAAAAAAAAAGTTCCTGCCTTTAAGTGGCAGGTGTCATTAAAAAAAAAAAAAGATTTACTACAACCACAAACTATTTTTTTTTTTTTTGAAGACCAACAGAAAGGACAAATCTCTTAAATCTGATGTAAGAAAAAAATACTTTAGAAACAGAACATAGGTACAGTATCTTTTTATGATATTTTTTAGTTGTAGATAGACATAATACCTTTATTTTTTTAAATTTTTATGCTTAGGATCGAACCCAGTGCCTCATGCGTGCTAGGCAAGTACTCTACTACTGAGCTATAACCCCAGCCCATCAGTGGTTCTTAACTGGGAGAGATTCTGTACTCCAACTCTTCCTCTAATGCCACTTGTAATGTTTGGAGACATTTTCAGTTATCACCAATAAAGCCAAATTTCACTACATCAAAATCTGGAACTGCTACACATTTCCTTATACATCACCAAAGTGATTATCTTAGAAGCATACCATCTGAGTAGGAGAGGTGTGATTATCTTAGAAGTATACCATCTGAGTAGGAGAGGTACGAACGACTCTTATCTCAGTGTGTCCATCAAAATGCCTGATTTAGTCCCTAACTTGAACTACTTTGCTCTTGGCAGTAGCCTCACATAAACTTTGAGGAAAGCTCAAAATAAAAATACAGGTTAATATTGTAAAAAAAGAATTCAAATTGTTTTTTTTTTCCCCTCTAAATCTCTTATGACTGTCTTTAATAAGAACAAGATGGTATATGGTCAAATTCCATTTTCTTATCAACTCCTTAGATTTTTAACATGTATGTTACAAGACACATAATAACAGAATATTCTTCTGACCTTTAACTTGGAAATCAATTGTAGGCTGCCCGGGTTTAAGCTGTCACAGGTGGGAAGATCTGCTACTTTAGTCTGTGCAAACAAAAGCCACACCATTAATATACACTTTATGTATAAGGTTGGCCTTCACTCATTCAACAAAATAGTTATCTCATATATTATTTTCTCTAATAAGAGAAAAGTTCCAAATGCAACTGTTTCATTGATGGCAAAAAACAGGATCCCCTATGTTTAAAAATATATTTTTTAATTAACCTTAATTTCTCCAGAATGAAATGCATGTTCACAATGAAATCATGTTAAAGAAACAAGTTAAAACATTCTTAAACATCAAGAAGCAATGGTGAGGAAGTCATCCTGTCTGTATTCCCTAAGATATTTCATTCTTTCAGAGAAAACTTCACAAAGGAAACACTTATACCTGTTCAATGGAATGTTTATGCAACTCCAGGCACCTATTTCCACAGAGTTGATTTTCTCTGAAAGTGAATGACTCAGTGGGTAGAGGTGTTGCTTGGAGGCCAGAGTCATGGTCATGGGCAGGCTGTTCTTGCCTACCTGACACATGCAGGCTGGTTCCCAGTTTGGGTGAGCTGGTGGGACTGTCGTACTGCTTACTGTCACGAGCCAGGCTGACTGTGTCTTCCGGGGTAGAAAGCTGGGATGTAGAGCAAGTTTGTCCAATGACCTTGGCAGATGCTTTTTCACAGTACGCCTGGGAACCAAGGGCTGGAGTAGTGCCTAACATGGGGAGAGCAGATGAACACAGGTCCACAAGGGGTGTGCTGTTATCGTCAGATGCAGAAGTATTTAAAGGAGTAAAAAGTATCATGGACGAAGAAAGGCCCTTGTTGGTAGGCTGGTGTTTTAGATTTGGTATTTGACGATGTGCTTTTCTTAGTATAGCAATAAGGTCCTCTTCTGAGTCCTCCATTTCGGCACCTATTTGTTTAGGACTCAGTTCCTCCAGAACACAATTGTCCTCTTTAGGATACCTCTCCCTGCACATTTTTGATTCCAGAGGCTCAATAAGTTTTTCCGAGCAGGACTTCAGTTTTTCAAGCATAAGAGGCCCAAAGTCGTCTTCAGGTAACTGAAAGTCTGTGACATTGAGAAAAGACAACAGTTGCTTTAAACTTAGCATTTCATTTTTATAAAATGGAACACTGAAAGCATCATCCAAAGCTAAATAAGCATTATTAATGGAAGAGAGGGAGTCCTCTTTTCGACAATGAACTTCCTTCCCTAAAATAGAAAATTGAGCAACAATAGTAACAAAACCCAACAAGAGATATTAATATCTAATAGTGAGTTTTTAAATACTAAATAGTAAAAAATGTTCATTACTTCTCCTACTCATGACTTTGAAACCTGATACAAGGGCTTAAAATAATTACAGAGCCATGAGAAGTGTCACATGCCTTTAATCCCAGCCACGAAGCAGGCTGCAGAGGGTGGTTAGCAAGTTCGAGGACAGCTTGAGCAATGTAGTGAGACTTTCTCACAATTTCTTTCTTTCTTTCTTTTTTTTTTTTTTAAGGATTAGGGATGTAGCTTTGAGGTATTGCACTTGCCTAGCATGTACAAGGTCCTGGGTTCAATCCGGTACCTTCCCCAAGCCAAAATAAGAGGTAGGTGGTTAACTAGCAGCTATCCTTTCACAGGACCCCACAGTGTGGTACTGACAGTGCTAAATGGGAGATGGAAGAACGGGGTCAAGTCCCAGCTTAACCACTGTGCAGCTGTGGGTAAGTCAATTTACTTTCCCTTTCAAGCAAAAATTTATTTCCCAGCAGCTTGGTAGGCAAGAGGATCACCAGTTTGAGGTCAGCCTTGGCAACTTAGTGAGACCTACCTCAAAATAAATAAATARAGAGAGAGAGAGAGAGAGAGAGAGAGAGAGAGAGAGAGAGAGAGAGAGAGAGAGAGAGAGAGAGAGAGAGAGAATGCGTGCGTGCGCACGTGCGCGAGCTGGGGCTATAGCTCAGTGGTAAAGCATCTCTGGGTTAAATCCCCAGTACCATTAAAAAAAACAAAAACAAAAACAACGAAAAACTATTGTTCTTGGGCTGGGGATGTGGCTCAAGCGGTAGTGCTCGCCTGGCATACATGCGGCCCGGGTTCRATCCTCAACACCATATACAAACAAAGATGTTGTGTCCGCCGATAACTAAATAATAAATATTAAAAAATTCTCTCACTCTCTCTTTAAAAACAAACAAACAAACAAACAAAAAAACTATTGCTCTTAAAGTATCTGGGGTCATATACTATTCAAAATGTAGCTGCATATAACTGATGAACCAGTACAAACTGTCATACATATGTATAATGTAATATTCAGTTCTTAAAAAAAAAAAGAATAAAGTACTGATACATGTTACGTTGTCTATGTATTCTGAAAACATCATAAGTGAAAGCTGTTAGACCCAAGGGTCACATAGTAATTCTATTTATATGAAATATCCACAGTAACTAAGTTCACAGAGATAACAGATTGGTAGCTGCTGAGTGTAGAAGCAGGGGGAAAGGTGATAGAAAGCAAATGCTTAATAGGTATGGCATTTCTTTCTGAAGTAATGAAAATATTTTGGAACTAAACAGAAATGGTAGTTGCATAACATTATAAATGTACTAAATGCTACAGAATAGTTCATTAAATTTAAAAGTTAATTTTAGCTTATGTTAATGTCACCTTCAGAAAAACTTTTWAAAAAAAATGTAGCTGTAGGTTACTAAAATCCCAGTGGAGCATTTTGAAATATAAGAAAGAACATTTCTAGATTACTGGCGTGCATACTTCTTGATTTTTTTGCATTCTTGTTGACTTCAAAGAAGATAAGGAAAAAAAGTCATGATTATTATTTTAAGTTAATTTAATAAATTACAGCTCACACACTAAAGTCTATGTTCAAAGGTACAGAGCAGCCCGCTGCCTACTTTTGTACAAAAAGTTTTATAGGAACAGTCCCAATTACATATTGCCCACGGCTGCTTTTGCAGGACAGCTTAGTACTTAAGGTGGAAAGAATAAAACTTGGTCTATACAGGGTGTTTGCTAATAACTTACTTAAAGCCACAGTGATAATCCAGTTTTTATGCTCAGTTTATCAGATATGATTAACTCCTGAGAAAATGAATAAAGCTAAAATTACAATATATCCTTGCTTGTTATCCTCTAAAATCTTGTCCTTTTGATTACATGATCACTTCTAATAGTTGTTCAATAGATGCTCACTCTAAAACTTCTGTTTATTTCAAAACACTGTCTATATTAGTAGTATGCAACAACAGTAAGAATAACAATAACAATAATAAAACCTTTGATAAGCACCAAATTAAATTTCCTTTTCAGTGTTGATTGACTTTTTCAAACATAYGAGTGAACTCTAGTACCACACTGCCAGGTTTCAATCTTGGCACTGTTATTTCAATTAAATTACATTAATTAAAGTTGTTTTAGTCTCCCTGTGCCTTACTTTTTCCTTAACTGAAAATGAAGATAAAAATAGATTCTGCCTTATGTAGGGAAGCTGTGGTGATCCAAAGAGCAACCGCACAGCATTCAGAAAAGTGCCAGGCACAGTAATTATCAGCTATCATCATTGTCATCAAACACAATCTAATTTACCTTGAACTCTCTTCTTACCATGAATAATGGCTTTTTCATTCTGCTGCCTGCCCAAGGTGACTTCTTCCTTGGATCTGTTAACACCCAATGTGCTGAAAATTGGCCAAATCAGTTCACTATGACCTACTGCTGGGGTGCAGACTGATTTCCTTTTTCCTCTGTGTCTTCTACCAGATGGCTGCACAAGAGCCCTCCTAGAACAGTCGTYATCTTCGGTGGACCCAGGGGGAGAGCTGACGTCAGGGGGAGAGAGAAGCTCCTGAGGAGGACTTCTTGAGATTGCTTGTCCTGTGCACGTGTCCAAAATCTCAGTTTCACTTTGGGCACTATTTTCATTGGAAGGGTTTAAATTTTTAGGTGCTTCCTTACTTTTATTTTTAAACTCCTTCTTCCTGCCACCCAAGTGATTTTGAATTACAGCTTCTAGGGCTACTTTCTTCTGGCAATCGGACATGCGACGTGTTGTTCTAACATAGTATTCCGCCGGAAACAAAAGGCCTTCAAGCACTGTGCAAGAATGTATTTGATTTTCTGTAGAAACAGAAGGGACTGCTTCCAGGCTAAGACTCTTAGATTGACTTAGAACCTCATTTTCTTGAAGATTTTCATTTCTATCATTAAAAGCATTAATGGGAGATTCCTTGGTGTGATTTTGTTCTTTTAAGTTTTGCTTTATCTTTGCTGGTAAGTTATTATAAGGGAGTTCACTTGCAGAACATGAATTATCTGCCTCTAATGCAGGACTTCTAGGCAGCTGGCCAGTGGTGCCTGCAGCTTTATTTACTACTGTGYTATCTGGAGAGACAGTCATTTGGTGGCCTTGTACCTCCAGGTTTATGGGTGAAGTAAGGCTAATGTTTTTAAACCCCTGAGTAATGAGTTCACAATTACCTTTAGGAGGCATATGTTCAAGGTCCTCATGATTACTGTTATCTGGTATAGTATGCAAAGGATCTTCAGTGTTATTGGAGAAATTATTTCCTTTAAATGGGGTATCAACTCTTTCTGATTTGGCAGTTGATGGAATTAATATATTCTCTCCATCAGTTTCTACAAGTGGTGCTGGAGAATCTGGAATTTCAGACTTACAACTTGAAAGGGAGGGTATTTCAGTTATTGGTGACCTAGGATTTTTGCTACCGATTGCTTCCTGTTTCTTTAGTCTTTTTCCAGAGAGTATGAGTGAATCAGTGTCAARGAAACCTTCGCCCTCCTGTGAGACATGTGCTCTCTTTGGCTGCTTCTTTCTTCTCCCTGGAAGCTTACTCTGCCTTTTCTCACTATCAGGGCCATTTGCCCTGTAGGGACAATGTTCTTGGATGTCATCCATTCCTGAAATACGTAATCCTTCTTCTGGGCCATCTTCAGGGTTAAAAGACTCAGGCTCAGCAGCAAGTGTTATGGGTGTCTTTTCTCCAGTGTTGCCATCCAGACGGGCATTGATTTGTAACTCCTTATAAGGAGATCCTTCATTTTTAGGTTCTAAGGGGGAAAAATATATACAAATATTATTTTCCTTTTAAAACAAAACAAAATAATACCCCATTTTTATTTAAAAAAATCTCATAGGGCTACAGTGATAGAGTGCTTGCCTAGTATGCATGAGGKCCTGGGTTTAATTCCCAGTTCCAGGAAATTATACATAAAAACAAAAATTATAGTGTATGTATGTACATATACATACATACACTATAATTTTTATTATATATATAGACAAACACACACGCAAACACTCATTTGGGAAAAAAATCAATGGCATTACATTTTAGGCAGGATTCACGTTTTTAAAATTCTAATAAAGTACAGAATYATAAATAAATGTAAGCAAATATAATTATACTGAAAAGGTGCTTTTTAAAATGGAAAGATTTTTTCTTTATCACAATTATGGTTTCTCTTAATTTAAAAAAAATTCTATTAATTTCTTTTGATGCTGGGGACTGAACCCAGRGCCTCACGCATGCACCAGCTGAGCAATGCCCCCAGCCCCTCACCTGTTTTGTGTGCATGTACTTATTTATTGTGAATACTGGGGAYTGAAACAAGGACCTTACACATATTAGGCAAGTGTTTCATCACTGACATATATTCCCAACCCTTTTTTTTCATACATTTAATTGAGACAGAGTTTAACTAAATTGTCTGGGCTAGCCTCAAACTTGTGATCCACCTGCCTCAACTGTCCAAGGAGCAGCAATTACAGGCATATGCCACCAGACCTGGCATCTTCTTTTCTTTTTCTCAAGTAATTTTAACATTACTTTCTCATTTCAAATGTCCCTAATTTTACGATTAAAAATTACTTGAATTCTGACACCAAAAATGACTAGTTTTTTAGAGTACTGTTAATCTAAACTTTTTTCTCTACGCACATGTACATACATCTTTTTACAAAATCATCTTTATGTTAAACAATATGAAACCTGAGGGAAAAAAAGAGCAATTGAATAAACAACTATATGTATAGTTTTTTGCTCACAGAATGGGAAACAATACTAGCAAATCATATCTGATAGGAACTTAGGCAGAATCCCTACAACTCAACAACACAAAGACAACCTAGGGCTGGGGATGTAGCTCAGTTGGTAGAACATTCACATAGCATGCATAAGACTCYGAGWTTAATCCTCAGCACCACAAATAACATAACTAATTARAGGTATTAAAAAAATAAAATGAACAAAGAATTTGAATAGAGATACTCCTAAAGAAGATATACATATCACTACAAATACACGGAAAGATGTTTAACATCAYTGTCACTAAGAATTCTGTACCTAATAATAAAATATATATATAAACTTATACATGGATATTTATTGCAGAATTATTCATAATAGTCAAAAGTGGYAACAACCCAAATATTCACTAATTGATGAATGRATAAACAAATTGTACATATTCAATGGAATACTAATCAGCTGTTAAAGGAACAAAGTACTGACAGAAACAAGGATAAATGTATGGATGRATGCACACTGAAAACATTAAGTAAAAGAAGCCAAATATAAAATCCCACATATCAGGGCTGGGTCTGTAGCTCAGTGGTAGAAATGCATGCATGAGGCACTGGGTTCGATCCTCAGCACCACATAAAAAYAAAATAAAGATATTGGATCCACTTACAACTAAAAAATAAATATTAAAGAAAAAAACCCACATATTTTAAAATTCCATGTCCACGGAATTTCTGGGGTAGGCAAATTCAGAGACAGAAGTAGATTAGTTCCCAGGGATTGGGACTAGGAAGGAGTAGGGAGGGCTGACAATGGGTACAGGGTTTCTGTTTGGGGTGATGAAAATGTTCTTGACTTAAGTGATTACAGTTTTCACAGTATTTGTGGATATGTAAAGAACCACTGATTTGTACAATTAAAAGGCACTCTACCACTGAAGTATATTCCACCTTGTCTAGCAAATGCAAGGAGGCTCTGGGTTTGATCCCTAGCCAAAAAAAAAAAAAGTTAAGTTTTATTAAAAAAAAATCCTTCTAATATTTAAACGTGAAATTGTTTTTTTAACATTGAGGAGGGAACGAAAACTAAATAAACATTTCAACTCAAATATAGTTTATTGCTTGAATTTTATGGTAAAATGTATTGCTTCTTATCTGTGGCTGTGGAAAAGGATAGCTTAATGTTCCTGGAAAATTACAGTAAAACAAGTATAAATAAGTAGGCTGGATTTACCTGAGTGGTTTAGCTGTGATGAGATTTCCTGCTGGAGCGAGCAATCCTGTTCTGCTGTTTTCTTAACAGAATTCTTAACCTTCTCGGCTCTTTGGGCACGCTGGAGAAAACAAAAGCAGCTCAAGAAATACCTTCTTTTTAATGCTTCATTACCGTCGAGAACCGTTTTGATATATTTTGTACTACACCTTTATCTGAGAGAATACGATTCACCTACCTGAAGGCGGGCCAGTGTCTTGCTGTATTCCCTTTTCAAGAATGCTAATTTTTCCTTCAACTGGAAGAAGAAAAAACACCAACAATGCTGAGCAGTGGAAAGGTAGAGACACAGTGCCTATCAGATAGGGGTTGGCGGTGCTCAGTGGGGTTTCTCAGCAAGAYGCAGGGAGGGAGTGGGTCTGGCCCACATAAATCTACTCTCAGCTCTCAAAAGCACCAAGCTCTTTACTCTTAGAATCTTTGCACAAACTGTTTCTTTCACCCAGAGCATGTCCCCCTTTTGCCAATTCATCCTAATTCCTTTAAGCCTCAGCTTAGATTTTTACTTTCCTGGGATAGACTTCAAGTTCTTCTCCAAAACCAGATTAGGCACTCCATTCCTCTCTGTGCTACCCTTAATACAGTATTTACAGTACCAACTATGTTGTCTGTTTAATTCTGATTCTTTTCTCCCCACTCCCATGAGATTCTTGAAGGTGGCAGGAGATGTCACCCTATAGTCATTCAACAATCATTCTCTTGACTGCTAATGGTCCAGGTATCTCTAGCACCTGGAATATAACTGATACCCAGTAGTATCAGTGGGTATCAGTTATCTCAAGTGCTAGAGATAGAGTGGTCAATGCAATTTACACTCAGTTAAGGGTACAGATAATATACAAGAAAACAGATAAGATTTCACAGGGTAATAAGTACCTAGATAAACTGGGTGATAAAAATGGTTAGGGAGGCATTACTGAGGAACACCATTTCAACTAACTGACTTGCCCAGATTGAGGAAGTCAGCTTTGGGAAGATCAAGGGGACAGATATTCTGGACAGCAAGAACCACAAATGTGAAAGCTGCATGGTGGGATGGGATAAGTTATTTGAGGAGCACATAGAATGCGGAATTCCCAGACAGGCACACAGTAGATATTCAACAGAGATCCATTAAATAAAAAAATTAATGAATTGGGCTGAGTCAAATTATCATTCTCTAAAAAGTCTGGGTTCTCTTTGTCTCTCTGGCTTTGGTGGTTCAAAGGATTCTGAGCTGCAAAGCCACATCTTTTTTTCTGCTTTCTAGGAATCTTAAAGGCACTCATCCTTCCAAGATCATGTAGTTTATAAATGGCACCATTTAAACTTAAGTAGCAGGGCTCTAGTTGATGCACTTAGCTCTCTATGCCACCCTGCTTTGCACCAGCCTTATCAAGTGCTGGGAGTTATCTTGTTTACTTGTAAATTATCTTTTCACCTCCAAGAGCAGTTAAGCAAGGCTAAGAAGACTGATGAGTTAATGTGAATGAGTTTAGTACACTTTTAGCACAGTTAACAGGAGATGCAATCAAGTTAACAGCAGCACAAGAACCTGGAAACAAGCTAGAAGCCTCTAAGCAGATTAATATTTAAAGAAACAAGATCACTTCCAAACTACACCATCCTCACAGAACTTTTTTTTTTTTCTTTTAAATAAGGTAAGTGAGGGGCTGAGGTTGTAGCTCAGTGGTAGAGCACTTGCCTAGCACGTGTGAGGCCCTGGGTTTGATCCCCAGCACCGTGTAAAACTAAATAAACAAAATAAATGCATTGTGTCCATCTATAACTAAAAATATTAAAAAAAATAAGGTAAGTGAACATGTCCTAACATGGATATTAAAAATGGGCAAAAACAGAACTTGCAGAACCATTCAGATCATGCACTTATGAACATTCTCCTCCTTAATAAGTACATATGACTTTTTGGTGGCTCCTACCACCACACACACACACACACACAACACACACACACACACACAGGCGTGGGGTGCAGGAAATCCAGATTCAGATGTGGGTGTGGGGAGGAGGAAGGATGTCCAGGGGGACTCAAGCTTTGTCCCCGAAGCTCTGCACTTTGTATTTATGCACTGCTACTGTGATGAAAATTTATCTTGTTTAAACGCCACCACGTGAGCACCGCGCCGCCCTCCACACTCTCACTTCCGGTGCCCCCGCAACCCTAACAGAAGAGTGGATCCGTGGAGGCTGCTGCCTCRGACAGGGGAGGAAACCAGACCAGGCCGAAAGTCCTAGGCAGCGGGTCAGAGTCCCGCGTCAGCCCTCCCCACGCCCGTGGCACCTTTTCCTTYTCCGCACAGCTGAGGGGCTTCCCGGAAGGCTCTTCCATTGAGCTGGAGGCCGAGCGAAAACAGCAGCCCCGGCCCTGCGGACGCGGGGACCCAGTTGGACCTAGGTCCAGGAGGCACCCCGGGAAGGAATAGGGAGCCGGGATCCCCTCAGCCCGCGATCAGCTGGCCCACGCGAGCTCAGCGCGCGCCCTCAATTCCGGCCAATAAAAACACACCTCTCGGCCTGCGCGTGCGCAACCCGGGATTGCCGAGCAACACCGCGGGGTCGTCTAGAGGAGAGCCGAGCTGTCGATGAGACCCGAGTCCCCAGGAGAGCGGAAGTGGAGGAGCAGCCGGAAGTAGCCGGAATCTCTGACTGACCGCCGGGCTTTGACGCGCTCCGGAGGTGCCCAGAGGCGGTGGCGGCCATGGAGTTGGGCGAGCTCCTCTACAACAAGTCCGAGTACATCGAGACGGTACGCTGTTCGGACATCTGCCCTCCGCTTCCTAAGACTGGATCCCTTTGAGGCCTGGCGGGCAGTCGCATCCTATCCCTGCCCCACCCACCCTGGGTCTCTTTGGCAGTTCGTCRCTTGTTACCTAGTGTCGCTTCGGGTGTCATCTGATTCTGTTATTTAGTCTGTGCATGGCTGGTTTGGGCCGTGTGCATTGATTCTATTCTTTATGGTCAACACATGATATGTCTTTGAAATGCTGGTGACAGAGCAAGTGACCATGTGACTGTTATTTTGGTTTTCGGTGCTTTCTGATAAAGCTCTATGATAATGGCAAAGTCGTTATCCTCGTTATAGGATTCTAAAACTGAAGTATGAAATTGGGACTCGAATCCTCCTTTCTGTCTGATGTCACTAAGCTACAGAAGTACWGATTATTGATCCATTCGCTGAATCTTTAGGTAGCTAATCCATTCTAGCTTTTTTGGTACCCTGAATTTTCATTCCATTTTAGACTGCACTCCATACTGTGCAATATGAGCCTTTTCCTTTCTTGCTTTCTTTTATTGTTGAGACAGGGGTCACACTATGTTGCCCAGGCTGGTCCAGGACTCCTCAATTCAAGCAATCCTCCTGCCTCAGTCTCCCAAGTATCTGGGACTATAGGCACAGGTCACCGTGCYCCACTCCAGTGAGTTTACTTGATGGAATCTGTGAGCCCAGAAACCCTCTCAGTTTCCTCACTCTGGGTGGTCTGGTTTTGTTTGGTACCCGGGACAGAACCTTGCCGATGGTCTTCATCACTGAGCTACACACCTAATCCTCCCCCCTTTTTGACACAGCTAAGCTGGCCTGGAATTTTCAATCCTCCTTTCTCAATCTCTTGGGTGTCTGGGATTACAGGTTTTCACTATTGCAGCTGGCTTACCCCATTTTATGTTTCCTTTTAGGCATCTGGGAACAAAGTTAGTCGCCAGTCAGTGTTGTGTGGAAGCCAGAACATCGTTCTCAATGGCAAGGTAAGGGACAAAGCCTGCTCCAGGATGTACACCTTGCTTTCTTTCCACTGATTATCATGTTAGCAAGATAGACAAAATGTTGCAACATCTCCTGTTTATTGTTGTACATTTTCAGTTCTCTTTTTTTCTCCAGATTTGATTTTTTAAATTTTTYAAAATATATGTATTTTTTGTTTGTAGACGGAATTTATTTTTTATGTGGTGTTGAGGATCAAACCCAGTGCCCCACATGAGAAGTGAACACTCTACCACTGAGCTGCAACCCCAGGCCCCAGATTTGACTTTATTGAATGCAAAAAAGTTTCAGTAAAAGAAAGCAACAGAAAACCCTTTTTCTTTTATGCCAGAAAATAATACAGTGGTACTCAGAATCAAAATTATTGTACAATATTGTAGTGTGCCCTAAACCACTGGACACAAAACATAAATAGGCAATAAAACATTTTAAGGTAGAAACTAAAGTAAAACTTGCCAAATTATCTGATTAATGATAATTAATAGTTGAATGTTAACTGAAACATAAAATTAATGTTTTTAATGTCTGTGAAATGCTGGTGACAGAGCAAGTGACCATGTTACTTGCTGTTTCAAAATAAAAAGGGCTCACCTCACATGTKCGAGGCCCTGGGTTCAATCCTCAGCACCACATAAAAATTAAAAAAAAAAAAAATGTAGATCTGAAAAAGAATATACTCTTTAAAAAGTTAATGTGAGAAATAGGAAAGATATTAAAATATGAGAAAAATGCAAAGTAGAATCTGAAAGTCTTGTAATCTTGTAATCTAAATAGATTGAATTAGCAAAGGGATTAGTATAAACCTAGGAAGAGTATTAGAACATTTCAAAACCAGAGAAAATACCAGAAGATACATTGAAGCTTCACAGACTCTGAAGTCCATAGTTAATTTCTTGTCATCTGAGACACACAGACTTTTGCTGTTGTTTTTATTTTTTTCATACTGGAAATTGAACCYGGGGATGCAGTTTTATCACTGGCCACATCCCCAGCCCTTTTTATTTTGAAACAGGGTCTTTTGAAACAGTTGCTTTGGGCTTCACTAAATTGCTGAGGCTGGTCTTGAACTTGCAATCTTTCTACCTCAGCCTGCTAARTCACTGGGATTACAGCCATTGTGCCCCTCATGAGCCACACAGTATTGAAATTTACTTCCCTTTAAATGTTGCATCTGTAACTTCCAGAGGAAAAAAAAGTTGAGAATATAAGCTTAACTATAACTAAGAAATCACAAGTATGTTCAGTAGAAACACAATTAATGTCTGTGAATTGCTGACGACAGAGCAAGTGACCATGTTACTTGCTGTTTCAAAATAAAAACCCACTATATTATGAGATTTAATGGAAAATAAATAGAGTTAGTAATTCCTGCTTAGACATACTGTTCCTGCAGAGAATTAGAAAATTCAGCTTACTCCCTCTGACTCATTAGCAAATGTGTGAAGGTTTTTTKGAAATCTCTAAGCTAATTCTGAAGCATTTTCTTTTACTGTAGGGAAGAATTATTTTCTTGTGATGAAATAGATATTAAAAAATAGCCATCCTAACYATTTTTATTATTTATTTATTTTGCTGTGCTGGGAATCAAAACCAGGGCCTCATGCATGCTAGTCAAGTACTCTACCACTGAGCTTAACTACCTTTCATTCTTAGCCCCATTTTATTTATTTTTAAGTATATAATTAATGAATATAATTAATTATATTCATGATGTTGTACAATCCCATCATCATTATCTATTTCCAAAACTTTTTTTTTATCTCCCCAGATAGAAACTCTGCACCCTTTAAGGACTAACTCCCCATTCTTCCCACTCCCCAGTCTTTGGTAACCTCAGTATACTCCATCTACTTTCTTTCTTTCTTTTTTTTTTTTTTTTTTTAATGTGGGGATTGAATTGAGTCTCACATATGCTAAACATGAGGTTTACTACTGAACTGTTGCCCCCTAGCCACTTAGTCTACTTTTTGTCTCTAAGAATTTCCCTGTTCTAGATAATTCATATGATAGAATCCTTTTGGACTGGATTATTTCACTTAGCATAATCTTTTCAAGGTTTATCTATGTTGTATCACCTCAGAATCTTTTCCCTTTTCATATCTGAATAATATTCCATTGAGTGTATATTCCACATTTTGTTTATCCATTTGTCTCTGGGTGACACTGGGTTGTTTCTCCCTTTTGGCTGTTGTGAATAATGCTGCAGTAAATATTGGTGTACAAGTATCTGTTTGAGACCTAGCTTCAGCTGTTTGGAGTGTGTATCTAGGAGAGGAATTGCAAGGTCAAGGGTGATTCTATGTTTAATTTTTTGAGAAATTTCTTAACTGCTTTTCACAGTGGCTGTACCATCTTACATTCCTACCACCAATGTACAGGATTCTGATTTCTCCACGCACGTCCTCACCAGCACTTGTTATTTTCTGGTTTTTGAATGATAGCCATTCCATTGGGTAGGAGGTAGTATCTCATTTTGGTTTTGTGTTTCCCATATGATTACTGATGTTGAATGTATTTTCATGTGCTCATTGGCCATTTGTATATTTTTTTTTAGGGAAAAGTCTGTTCGGTCCTTTGCTCRTTTAAAAAATTGTGTTGTTGGGGCTGGGGTTGTGGCTCAGTAGTAGAGTGCTCGTCTAGCATGTGTGAGGCCCTGGGTTCGATCTTGCACCAAATAAAAATAAGTAAACAAAATAAAGGTATTGTGTCCTAAAAACCCAAATATTTAAAAAAAAAATTTGTCTTGTTTTTTTGTTGTTGAATTGTAGGAGTTTTCTTTATATTTGTGTCCTTGACAATGTCCTTTGATAAAAGTCTTAACATTTTTTTTTTCTTTTTGGTGGGGGGGAGTAGTGGGGATTGAACTCAAAGGTACTGAACCACATCCCCCCCACTTTTTTTTTTTTTGGTGCTGGGGATTGAACCCAGGGCCTTGTGTATGCAACCTAGTGTGCTCTACCACTGAGCTACATTCCTAACCCTTTCTAGTTTCCTTATTTTGAGACAGAATCTCACTAAGTTATAGGGGCTGGACTTAAATCTGCAGTCTTTCTGCCTCAGTCTCCTGAGTCTTGGGATTGCAGGCATGGGCCACTGTACCAGATAGTCTTGGCACTCTTCTAGAAAATCTGTTGGTCATAGAGTTTGAGTTTGTTTCTAGATTTCTTCAATTTTTTGTGGTCAGTCTATATGTCTATTCTTAGTACTACATTGTTTTAGTTGCTGTAAGCTTGTAATAAGTTTTTGTTTTTAAATTTTCTATATTATATTTTAACCAGGAATTAAAAGTCCTGCAACTTGATTGTTTTGGCTATGGAGGTACCCTTTTTGTGTATGTGTGTGTGTGTGGTGCTGTGGATCAAACCCAGGACCTTGTGCATGCGAGAAGCGAGGCAAACACTCTACCAGCTGAGCTATATCCTCAGGGCCCCTCTTTAAAAAAAAAAAAAAAAAAGATATTTTATTTGGTA